GCTCCTCCATCAGGTTCTCTTCCTGTGCCAGATCTTGCGCATACTGGTGGTTTCATGGGTCAGCCCTCATCACTGGCCTTCATTCCATTCTGGTTCTTGATGTTGGATGTTTCAGCCCAGCCAAGGCTTATCCATACCCAGACACTGCTCACACATGGCTCAGTAGGGACAGAGACCCAGCCTAGTCTGTCCTACATCTACCCAGGTTCTCCAGAACACCAGAACACCAGATGGTGCTGGCATCTAGCCCAGCTCGGTGACCCAGCTCCAGTTCACACTTGTGCCAAGGGAGATTGCAGCCATATCCAGTCCAAAACGCAGCCCTCACTCCGGTGCCCACACTCTCCCATGAAAACCACAACCCATAAAGGGTGTACTCTCACAGCTCCCCAACCGAGTCTATTCCCAGCCCTGGATTACTTGCATGCCAGTGGTTACTCTGACCCAATTCGCTAAGACCCCTACCTGTGTCAATCTTTGCCTTCAATGCTGTGGCCTAGTATTCCTGGCTTTTGCAGACCTATTGGTGTAAGAACCTAGTTCGGCAGGACATGTACTCCATCCTGGTTTCTATTCTTTCTTGTGAGTTGGGGTTTGCTTGTTCCTGTCCGGCCCACTCCACATCCTATTTTAGGATGCACTTTTGGGTGCTGCTGCCTTGACCTGCCCAGACTGTTGTTGGTTCCTTTACCCATAAGTAATGGCAGGTGCCACGGTCACACCTAACTCAGCCCATCACCACCCCAGCTTGTGAGCTAACCTGCGGGACTTGTATTTCCACAGGGTTGGGCCCATACTTCCCCTACACAGTTTAGCCTCAGTACGAGTTATCTCACGTGCTGGTTAATGTCTTGACCTACCAAGTGTGATCAGTCCAATATTCCACCACCCAGTCAGGTATTGGTACCTAGCCCTGCCAGACAGGCCCTCATCCCTAGCTTTGGTGTGGACTGGTGTGTGGCAGTCAGTGATGCTCTATGCTAACAGCCCATCTCAGGATTGCTAATTGGGCTGGCGAATCAGTCTGGCCCAAATAGATTTTATGGACACTCCCCTCCAAACCATCAGGTCTCAGTCCTCACGCCTGCCTGAAAGTTTCATGACCCTGCCACAGGGAATCACCTAGAATTTATCTGTCACCTACACTAACAGTTGCCTTATTCATGGATGTCCCTAGGCAGCAATTACATATCCTAAAAACCCGAGTTTGCTGCCGGGTGGGCAGCAGACACAGCCTGGCACCACTTGGTGTACTGGCTGCCCAAAGCCAAGAACTCAGTCAGTGCCTTTCGGCAGTGGCTTTGGCCTGAGTCCCCAGCATTGGGTCTGGCCCAGCAGGGGCACCCCCCACAGCCGCCACACTGAGCTGCTTTTGTCCCCAACCCCAAGGCCTGAACCACTCACTACTCTGCTTCTGATCCAGCTTCTTGGTAACAAACCCATCCTGGGAGACATCAGATCATGACCCACATTCTTAGGTGCTTCAACCCATGTTGGAGACCAAGATGGAGTGCCCGGCTCCCAGATTTGGCTTGTTGTAGATATGTGGAGAGTGAATCAGCAGATGGAAAATGTCTCTCTGTCTCTTGATGTCTTTCTTTGTGGTGGTGGTCTCCTCCTCTTCCTCCTTTTCTTCTTTTTCCTCCTCCCTCCCCCCATTCTCTTCCTTCTTCCCTTTCTCCTCTACCTCCTCCTCCTTTTCAGATTTCATTTATTTGAAAGGCAAGGGTACAGAGAGAGAGAGATGGGCCTGGGCTAGTCTGAAGCCAGTTCTCACACACGGGTGCAGGGGCCCAAGGACTTGGAACAACCTCCACTGCTTTCCCAGGCATATTAGCAGGGGATTGGATCAGAAGTGGATCAATTAGGACTTGAGCCTACAGTTAGTCCATAAAGGATACAGGTGGCAGCTTAACCTGCTGTGACACAGTGCCAGCCCCTGTCTGCCTTTCAAGGAAATGAGAAAAGTCATTTTGAAAAAAATCATAAGATCAATCAGCCCAAAAACTTTGGGGAAAAATAATAACCTGCCAGTATCCTCACCTCTCTACGTAATTGCTTTGCTTTGTTCTTGGCTCAAGTACATACTTGGTTTTGCATTTTTATAGTCATAGCCTGACAACATTTTTATATTAGTCTTTTTAAACTCAACTTATATATTATTTTCCCTGTTGCTGTGTATATTTTGTAATTAGTTTTTATTGAACGTGTAATTGTTTCTTAGATATTTAATAATGGTTAAATAATAGGGAATGCCCTGTTCTTAAGCATTCTAATTTTTTTTCCTTCTGATTCTTTTTCCTTTAGTGCTTTAAGATTTACTTATTTGGTACCCATGCAATGGCCCAATGGCTAAATCCTCACATTGCAAGCTTGGCCCCTGTACTCATGGGGGAAAGTTAGAAGTTCCTGGCCCCTACTTGGGTGTGTCCTAGTCCCAACCATTGCAGCCCTTTGGGGAATGAACCAGCAGATGAAGATTCTCTTTCTCTGTAACTGTCTTTCAAATAAATAAATAAATCTTAAATAAAACAAATACTTGGAATGGTCTGCCTGACCAAAGCCAAATTAGGTACTTGTAAAAAAGCTAGAACTCTATCTGAAAATGTATCAATAAATTTATATTTGTACACTGTATTTGTAAAGTTGAAACACATATAAAAGTAATACTGCTTAGGGGGCTGGTGTGATGGTTCAATTGGCTAATCTTCTGTCTGCAAGCATCAGCATTCTATCTGGGTACTGGTTCATGTCTCAGCTGCTCCAGTTTCCATCCAGCTCCATGCTTATGGCCTGAGAAAGCAGTAGAGATTGGCCCTGGGACCTTGCACTTGTGGAGGAGACTCAAGAAGAAGCTCCTGACTCCTGGCTTTAGATTGGCTCAGTTCCTGCTGTTGTGACCATTTAGGGAGTGAACCAGCAGATAGAACATCTTTTCTCCATAAATCTGATCTGCTTTTCCAATAAAAATAATGTTTTTAAAATTTATTTATTTGTTTTTTAAAGATTTATTTATATTACAAAGTCAGATATACAGAGAGGAGGAAAGACAGAGAGGAAGATCTTCCATCTGCTGATACACTCCCGAAGTGACTGCAATAGCTGATGCTATGCCGATCCGAAGCCAGGAACCAGGAACCTCCTTCAGATCTCCCACATGGATGCAGGGTCCCAAGGCTTTGGGCCGTCCTCCACTGCCTTCCCAGGCTCAAGCAGGGAGCTGGATGGGAAGTGGAGCTGCCAGGATTAGAACTGGCACCCATATGGGATCCTAGCGGGCTCAAGGCAAGGACGTAAGCCGCCAGGCCATCATGCTGGGGCCCAAAAATTTATTTAAAAGACAGAGAAAAGTTTACCCCCCAAATGGCTATAATGGTGGGGGCAGCTGAAATCAGGAGCCAGGAACTGCTTCTCGGTCTCCCTCATGGGTACAGAGGCCCAAGGACATGGGCCATCTTCTGCTGCTTTCCCAGGCACGTAAGTAGGGAGCTAGATCAGCAGTGGAGCAGCTGGGACATAATTGACACCCATATGGGATGCTGGCATTAAAGGTTAAGTGCTGTTTATAATACTGTAGCGATACTGTTTGACATATAACTTGTGAGAAATTCTATCTTGGGTGAATTTGTGATAGTGAGGTGCCTGGAGGCAGGGGTTTGCCACTTACCCAGTCATGTGTAGTTGCAACACCACTTTCTGGAGAGTTGTGCCACTCGGTGTGCACAGAGGGCAGGATATGTCCATGTCTGCGTGGACCTGGCCTAAGCAGTGTGTCCACCTGGAAGGTTGGTGTACTGGCGCAGAGGCAGGATTGTGGGCTGAGCAAGATGGGCAGGGAGGATGGTCTCCTTGCTCCGAGTTTGAGCCAGTGTGAGGATGAGAGCAGCTTCCTGTGGGAAAGCCTGTTGCCCCCTTGGCCTTGGGCCTCCTCTGCAGCACTGCTTCATTGAGGATTTAGGGTTCTCTTCTGTGTATCTTCAATTACAGGCTTCCCTGGAACTGTCTCCTGACCAGTACCTTTAGGTCATCTTGCTGCTGAGGTTTAATGAGTCATTTGCTAATCAATAGCAATTTTAGAATAAAAAAATCAAGGAATCAAGGGTGTCTGCTACATAGGAAAAAAAAAATATCCAGGGGGTGATAGTTTTCTAGAGTTTATTCAAGAGGTGGACAGATGTTTTGGCAGAAGCATGTTAGCTTAGTTCTGATTGAATTATGTAACCTCTTCTACCTGTCCCCAACTTCCCCCTCGCCCCCTACCCCACAAAAAGTTATGCAAAGTTGGTGATGGCTTACTGAGAGTGAATCGGCAGAGGTGGGTGTATTAAGTCTCATGCATGAATCAAATTTTCTAAAGGACGGGAGAGCAGAGATATTCTTTAAAAAAATGAAAAGGCCTGGTGACTAGTTTTCCTCCAATGACGAGTTCAAAGGCAGCTGGTGTTCCCTGGGCACACACTGTAAGTGTACCCTCTTTCTAACTGTACAGCCGCCTGGAAATTTCCAGGTCTTGAAGTTTAAGATCTGCTTGTCAGGCTTGTTACTACCTAGACACATTCCTCTCTTACGTATAAAGCAGTTAAATTAAAAAAAAAAGACATATTTTCACTTTTTAATTTAAAGAAAGGGGAAGATTTTTCACGCACTAGTTCGCTCCCCAACTGCCGTCAAACAGCCAGGGCTGGGGCAGAGTGAAGTCAGGAGCCAGAAACTCCGTCTGGTTCTCCCACATGGAGCCCAAGTCCTTTGGCCATCCTCTCCTGCCACCCAGGAATATTAGAAGGAGGCTAATTGGAAGCATGGTGCAGCCAGGACTTGAACTGAGTACTCCAACACTCCAAGCTCTGACTCAAACTACTGCACCAGATGTATCCCACTGCATTTTAAAAATCTGTTGGTGTGTCTTGCTGTGGTCGGGTATGGGGCCATGCGTGGGAGCTCCTGCTGTGTTGGCTCCTGTCTGATGCTGCTGTAATGAAGGTATCCTCTTTCTGTTACAGTCCTTGCCGGTGTCCAGCCATGGGGGATATGAAAACTCCAGATTTTGATGATCTCTTGGCTGCCTTTGACATCCCGGACCCCACCAGCCTTGATGCCAAGGAGGCCATCCAGACACCCAGCGAGGAGCATGAGAGCTCTCTTAAAGCCCCAGGCATGTGTATGGATGAGAACGTGTCCTTGTCCCACTCAGGATCTGCCCCTGACGTACCTGCCGTGAGTGTTATTGTCAAGAACACCAGCCGCCAGGAGTCGTTTGAAGCAGAGAAAGATCCCATTGCCCCCAGCCTCCTGCACAATGGGTTCCGGGGCTCAGATCTGCCTGCCGACCCCCACAACTGCGGCAAGTTTGATTCTACTTTCATGAATGGAGGTAGTGTCAGGAGCTTTGCTGGCAAGCTGGAGCCCCCCAAGTCAGAGCCATTACCCACCTTCAACCAGTTTAGTCCAATCTCCAGCCCAGAGCCTGAGGATCCCATCAAAGATAACGGGTTTGGGACCAAGGCCAAGCACTCGGACAGTTACTTCTCACCTCCTCTTGGGTGCGGGACTATGGGGGGCCCAGTTCTGGAGGCTCTGGGCAAATTTCCAGTTCCAGAGCTGCACATGTTCGATCACCTTTGTAAGAAAGAACCCAAGCCAGAACCCCTATCCTTGGGGCCCCAGCAGGAGCAGGGGCGAGGTGGACAGAAAGCAGTGGAGCCCCTGAAAGAGTTGGATGCCCACCGATTCTTTGGCGAAGCTTTGGAGTTCAACAGCCACACTAGCAACAGCCTTGCAGAGCCCAGGAAGCTGGCCTCGGACCTTGGTGCCTGTTCCTCTGTTCCGCCCAGGCAGCGTCTCAAGCCAGCCCATTCCAAGCTGTCTTCTTGTGTTGCAGCCTTGGTGGCCCTGCAGGCCAAAAGAGTGGCCAGTGTCCCCAAGGAGGGTCTGCCAGGCACCACCAAGGATTCCTCAGGGCCTGCTAGAGAGTGTCCTAAAAGCAGCCCCAAAATGCCCAAGTCACCAAAGAGCCCCCGAAGCCCTCTGGAGGCCACTAGGAAAAGTGTCAAGCCATCAGACAGCCCTCGGAGCATTTGCAGCGACAGCAGCAGCAAAGGCTCCCCCTCAGTGGCTGCCAGCTCCCCACCAGCAATTCCCAAAGTCAGGATCAAAACCATTAAGACATCCTCGGGGGAAATCAAACGGACCGTCACAAGGATCCTTCCAGACCCTGATGATCCAAGTAAATCCCCCGTGGGGTCACCTCTAGGGACCCCCGTTGCTGAGGCCCCAAGCGAGGTGCCAGGGGATGAAGTTGTGGCCCTGCCTATGGAGGAGCACTTGGCTGAGGCCAGCACAGATTCAGGGAGCCCCCAAGGGGACAGAAATGGGGACGAAAGCACGACAAAGGCCGGTGACTCTTCATCTCCCTGTTCTGGGGCCCGGGTCCCTAAGGGAGCTGCCATGGGCTCACAGTTGGGCAAGAATCAACAGAACACAGTGCTGCAGGTGTCAGCCCTGGCCCCAGCCAGCCTCCTACCCAAAGCTGTGCACCTGGCCAACCTGAACCTGGTCCCCCACAGCGTGGCTGCGTCTGTGACAGCCAAGTCCTCAGCGCAGAGACGGAACCAGCCCACACAGATGTCGGTGCCTCTGGTCCACCAGGTGAAAAAGGCTGCCCCGTTCATTGTGGAGGTCTTCAACAGGGTCCTCCACAGCTCCAACCCTGTGCCCCTCTATGCGCCCAATCTCAGCCCGCCTGCAGACAGCAGGATCCACGTGCCGGCCAGTGGGTACTGCTGCCTTGAGTGCGGGGATGCATTTGCCTTAGAGAAGAGCCTGAGCCAGCATTATGGCCGGCGGAGTGTCCACATCGAGGTGCTGTGCACGCTGTGCTCCAAGACGCTGCTCTTCTTCAATAAGTGCAGTCTGCTGCGGCACGCCCGTGACCACAAGAGCAAAGGACTGGTCATGCAGTGCTCTCAGCTGCTCGTGAAGCCTATCTCTGCGGACCAAATGTTTGTGCCGCTCCCTGCAAACTCCATCACACCAGCAGCCCTGGCCCCCACCACAGCCCCGGTCCCAGCTCCAGCCCCTCCCACCTCCCCCAAGCCTGGCCCCACTTCCGGCAGTGCGAGCCCATCTCCTCCAGCCTTGCCACTCTACCCAGACCCCGTGAGGCTCATCCGGTATGGAAGCAAGTGTCCCGAGTGTCACAAACAGATGCGAGACTACATGGTCTTGGCTGCGCATTTCCAGAGGACAGAAGAAGCCGAGGGGCTGGTAAGCAGACCCTCCCCCTCTGGGGCATGGGCTGGGGCATGGCGAGGAAAGCAGCAGAGGACTGTCAGGTTGTCTGGCCCCACAGTTAGTAACCCACCTGAATCTGCAGGGTTTGCTGAGTGCTGGAAACGGCATCCTAACCATAGTAGAGGGATGGTTCTCACCCCTCCTTGCTCAGCTCCTCCTCAAGGGGCTGTCAGTATGTAGTGCTGGGCCTGAGTGGCCTTCCATGGAACAGTCTTCGGGTCCCTGGCATGTGGGCATGATCGTGGTGTGCATATGAAGTCCTTGGTGGACTGGGTGGGTGAGGTCTGGCCCTGTGTCTCAGTCTGTTCTCTGAGAACCGTGTCTTGGGTGGGATCCAATTTCGCTGCTGTGGATGTTTGTGCAGTCCCTCTGGGTACTGCAGTAGGGCCTGTGGCAGGAGGTGGGGGCCAGACCGAGGTGCCCAAGCTTTGCAGACCTCCTGCCCTTCATGTTCTCACTGCCCCAGACCAGTAGCTGGGCCAAGTGCCAGGTTGTGTGTGAGGGACTGTTTCTCTAAAGACCTTTTGTGCATTCCCACCGCGTGTGTCAGCAGCAGGTCCTGGGCAGGGGACTCTGGACAAGCCCACAGAGGCCTGTGGCAAAACAAGACAGCAGTTTTGGCTCGGGTCCAACCAGGGGCCTGCGCATATGCTGGTGGCCATGGAGCTTTGCATGTGTTTCCCCAGTGTCCGCCATGTACGGGGCTTTGCTGGGTGGAGGTGCCAACAGGAGGGAGTCTGTCCACGGGGCTACAGGCCCGATAAATGAAGGCTTGCAGGGCCGTGACCCTGGTTGCATTGCTGCTGAGGGACTGACTTGCAGGGACTGCAGGCAGAGGGAGGTTGCCCTGCAGAGGTGATGTTGAAATGGGCCTGCAGGAATGAGCTTGAGGGAGGGCTTGTGAGGTGCAGAGTGGGAACAGGGAGAGGCTGTTGTGGTTGAGGCAGAAAGGCAAGAAGTTGAACCCAGTAGGTGTGCAGGGCTTCTGCCGAAGACTCAGCCCTCTGAAGGGGCCCGGGGTTTCACAGGGCCCTTCTCAGGCTGCTTATGTTCACCTGCTTTGTACTTCAGTTTATATTTGCCTCCAGATGAGTCAGATCGGCTCAGCCCCTGGGCCGGGACCTCCATGTTCCTGCTTGGCTGGCATGCTTGCCTTGGGCCAGGAGCACACTTTCTTGGTTGTGTGACTAGGTCCCTTGGTGATGGCGGTCTGAGGCCAGGGCTCGTGTCGCCTTCGTCACAATGTTCTATCTTCTGAAACCTGAGGGCACAGAAGGATCCCAGGTTGATGCCCTTTCTATACTTTCTCCCCTACTCAGAGCAGGCCAGGAGCACCCCAACAGGGAGAGAGAGCAGGGCAGGAGCACCCCTACAGAGAGAGAGAGCAGGCCAGGAGCACCCCAAGAAGGAGAGCAGGCCTGGAGCACCCCAACAGGGAGAGAGAGCAGGCCAGGAGCATCCCGACAAGGAGAGAGAGGCCAGGAGCACCCCAAGAAGGAGAGCAGGCCTGGAGCACCCCAACAGGGAGAGAGAAGGCTGGGGTATCCCAAGAAGGAGAGCGCCTTGGAAGCTTCTAGCCAAATCCTGAGGTTCGGGGGTTAGGAGAATACAGTCGAGTGCCTCTGGGAGCAGCCAGTTTTGTTTTTGTTTTTGTTTTTTAAAGATTTATTTTATCTTTATTGCAAAGTCAGTTATACAGCGAGGAGGAGAGACAGAGAGCAAGATCTTCTGTCCGATTATTCACTCCTCAAGTGACCGCAATGATCGGTGCCATGCCAATCTGAAACCAGGAGCCAGAAACTTCCTCCAGGTCTCCCACACTGGTGCAGGGTCCCAAGGCTTTGGGCCATTTTTGAATGCTTTCCCACGCCACAAGCAGGGAGCTGGATGGGAAGTAGAATAGCTGGGACACAAATTGGAGCCCATATGGGATCCTGGTGTTTGCAAAGTGAGGATTTAGCTGCTGAGTCATTGCACAGGGTCCTATGCCGGAGTCCAGCTCCAGCTGAGTTCGGAACTCGCGAAGGGTGCGTGGATGAGGCGCAAAGAGGAAAGAAAGAGACGGACCACTAGGACTTGGTGATCATAATGGACAATGCACAAAAGCTGTCCGCTTTATTTATACAAAATCAGTCAAATTCTGGCTCAGACTTTTTACGTCATTAACAAATGGATATTTCTAAGGATAATTCTGCCTTTAGTTTTACTTAGAAACAATAGAAGTTCCTGCTAGGATTCTTATCCTACAACTCAATCTTGTATCACAAAGAAAAGGAGAACTTAAAGATCAAGGAGAGAATGAAAGCCTAAATACAGGTCCCTTGATTAGCATAGGTTCAATGGGGACAGTTAAGATAATAGGAATGACAAAAGGCCCCATTTGCAAAACATTGACCTCCAAGTTCAGGCTGAGCAAAAGGTTAACCTCGCAGTAGCAAATGTCAGGATGGATTAGAATTCTTCCACAGGGTGGTCCAGTGTCCATGCAAAAGAAGGTGGAGCTGCATTCAGGTGGTTGTAGAGACATCCGCCGGGTGAACAGCGGGAAATTCCTTGCGGCCCTGCCTGCAATGGAACACTCTTCACCCCCTCATGTCCTCCACATCTACTGCATGGACCCCAGCATCTCCCCCTCTCTTATTATTAAGTTGGAGGGTGCAGAGTTCTCTGCGAGTGGCTTGAATCATGGAGCTCAAACGTCAGAAGATGACTGGGCCAAAAAACAATACAAAAAGGAGAACAATTAGTGTTATTCCTAAATTTATAAAAAATGAGTAGGAGGTCTTATCAGAAATGAAAGATGAAAGAGATTGTAAGAATTGATTAGTAACACTTCCAGCAGAGAGAGCCTGAAGGCGAGAGAGATGGCAGAAATCTGAGCATGTAATTCCTGAATGCTAAGGCTAGTAGATGTGTCATTCCATACACCTTGGAGATGAGTTTTAACATCACTCCAAGAGACATGTGAGTCATTATAAGGGAGAGAAGTGACACAAATCCATTTATAAATACTATGGCAAGTGGTACCAAATCTGGTTTTTAAACATTAAGTTTCATTGCCAATATAAATATCTGCTTCTTCTAATGCACCAATTTTGGCCTCTAAATTGCTCAATACTTTCCTATGTACTTATTGCACCAGCTGTAAGAGGTCCAATTAGGGTAACAAATGCAGTGAGACCCAAACATAACATACAAAGGATGGACAAAGTTGTTGAAAACAATTCCAAAGCATAAAGATCAGCATCATCATACCATGGTTCAGTCAAATTTACAGGTAACATTACATATGAGGGTCTTCTCAAGACACCAAAAGTACCAGGTTTCAGGGAACAATTAAGACAATTAGTGACAACACACTTTGTACAAGTTACAGTGTATACAGAGTCATCTCAGAAAAGCCAGAGGGAGCTTAAGGCTCCATCTTGTAAGGGAGGAATGTTACTTATCAGCAGTCCTTTTGGAAGTAGATTGAGTCCTGCATGGGGATGTCTTCGGTGGTAGATGGTAGTCAGCAGATGTACACGTGACGTGTCCTCGTGGCAGGTGTTGATCTTCTGCGCACACTTGGCCTTTAAAAACAGTTCCAGGTGGAAGTGTCCATTGACCTCAGCAAGGGTAGCACTGAGGCTAGTGAAACTCTTTCTGTTGTTTTGGCCAGAGGGAAGCAAGAAGGAGAGATGGCACCAGGGTTCCTCCTGGTACTTAGGTCACTACTCTTCCTCTGGGCCTCTGGGAAAGTAGGCTGTAAAGGCAGTCTTTGGGATGTCAGGTTAATAAGTTAGCCATATCTATATAAATTCTGGAGATCTACCTGTATATTCTGAGAGGCCTTTTGAATTTTTAGAGAGGAAGTAGAAGAGAAATGAAGAGAAAGCTAATCACGCTTAGTAACAACATCAGGTGAAAACTATTAAAACACAGTTTTAGAAAATAAATTTTAAAATAAAGATACTGGCTTAAATAATACATTGAAAAGGCAGTGAGAATATACCATGAGTAACCTGGTTATTAACCTGGTTATTATTACAAACATATGGATGACTTGAAACATTTTCAATGACAGTCTGAGGCTTAACTTATGTGAGCCAAAAGCAACCTTAATTTAGGAAAAAGCAATAAAATAGTTTCAGTAATGACCTAAGATCTTAGACATTTTGAAATTATAAATTGGTTAGAATAACCTGTTGTTTGTAGTATAATAAGTTTGCATGGTTATTCAGATGGTTTCTCATCTGATCTCAAGGAACATTGAGACCAGACAGTAAAACACACACACACACACACATTCACTCCCCCCTATTTTTTTTTTTTTTTTTTTACTATAGAGGACTGTAAGAGTATAATTTCAAACAATTTTAACAAAAAGACATACAGCAAGACAAACATAGGTGGCCACCACACTCATTCAATTTTAAATAGCTAATGAGGGTCTCATATGGACCCTGACTCAAGAAGTTGTGTTGTATCCAGCTCTCGAGTCCTAGATGAGTACTCAAAACAAGCAAATTTGGATGATGATGTAACTGTATATAGGCAGAGGTCAGTGCAAATCCTGTGAGCCAGGAAGCCAGGACTGGCAGTGGGGCCGTGTAAATCATCACGGTGGCCTCCCCAGATGACCAAGCCAGGCTCCAGAACACAGGATGGCTACTACCCTCTGACTGAGGCCTCCAAAATGTTGCAGAGTGCAAGAAAAATCATGTCAGATAAATTTAGAATTTATTAAGGCGCCTTTATAAACCAAGCTTAGTGATAGCAGTACCCATTAAAATTAGTGAGAAGTCAACAATGATAACTCAGTCTGAGTTAAAGCCCTGAGAGAAAAAAATTGGACATTATCAAAGACCCTGATTTTAGTTATCTTAGCAATATAGATTAACCCAAGAGATATACAGTCAGCAGCCTAGACATATTTGCAAAACTGTAAACATTTATCTGTATCTGGCTTTTTGTTGTTAAGCATTACCTGT